AAAGTGACTGTAACTGAATAAATTTCCATTATTGTTGTTATCTATTTAGGTGCAATGTTCTGTACGGCTCTGCAGCACTTATTGACTAGCCGTCGTGTCGCCGTCATCCATTTTTGAAGACCCGGTATTAATGTACCTTGACGACAGTAAATTGAGTATGTACCTACTCTGTTGACATTATATCAAAATTTGATAAGATCAGTAAGCACCTATTATTCCAATATATTATCCTGCAAACTTTTAGTATGTTCAACAATTAAAGCATTTAACCACATGCTAACTTAGTTGAGCTTGCACTTTGCCTTTAAAATTATCATACATCCTGCAGTTTGTAAAACATGATATGATATTTAATATTCTGAACGACTATCGAATTAAGCCCTACAGTCAAGTGGTCTCCATGAATTTTATAGTCGCGACACATTTCTTAAAAAAGGGTCTTAATTATAATTGTATTATAAATTGTACTATTCACGATGGTGAATAATAACCAACATTCATTACATTTTTGTTGAATAATATGTATAGGAATGGGGTATTATTAATAGAATTATGACATTTATTATTTTTAGTATATTTTTATTATCAAATTCATGTTGAACTCAAGATTTTGCCATACATCTATAGGGTGATTCATAAGGAATGGATAATATTTTACCTGCCGATTATATAGCGGAAAATATTAATTTTTTGCTTAATAACTGGTGGTCAAATATTAATACTTACAGAGATACAGCGTGTTGAAGTTATAAAAATAATTTAGTAATGTTGTTATATTTCAGGTATTTTTTCATACATAAACATGAAAGTCGGTACAATTAGATTTTTTGACGTGAGAAAATGGAATAAGCTATCATTTCTGGTGTATTGCATAGAGGGCGCTACGTATGCAACCTTGGTTTAACAGAATTCGTCTTAACTTGTTTGTACTTCATTCATTTATAATCTCATTGCATATTTTTTATCTAACCATTACTTTTACACAAAAAAGGGATACTTGTGTTATCTTCATAAAATGCATCCTTATCGAGATATTTACATTTAGAAAATCCTGTGCACCCATAATTTTTTTTTACTTTTTGCAGTGATCCTCTATTTCCTCCTAAAAATGCATAATTTGTAATATTCTATTCGTCATTTTAACAAAAATAACTTTTAATATCAAATATCTGAAGAGGTGAGAAAAAGTGAGTATTTTTAAATTAAAAAAATGGCGGAAATAAATTAAACAGTTTAAAAGATAAAACTATAATTTATTTATCAACTTGAATAGAAAGAACGAAGTAAATACAAAATATTTTGAAACTACAAATAAAAGTGTTATATCTCTTAGAGAACATGTTCTACATGGCCACCACCCGCTTCAATACAGCGTTCTGGTCGCTTGCTCAATGATTCTCTTAGAGAAAAAAAGTGACTAGTACTGATAATATCAGCAGCTTCCTCAGTTCTGCTTCACAACTTTTCACGAATATCTATTATTTTGGAGTAAACAAGGGATTTCATGTAACCCCAAACATAAAAATCCATTGGGTTGAAATCTGGGCTCCGAGGTTACCAAGGAAACTGACTCCCACGAACTATTCAGCGGTTTGGAAACACTTGATTCGAGTAATTTCTTACTTGTCGGGGAAAATGTGATGGTGCTCCATCCTGCATGTACCACATGTTTATTCTTACGATTGGTGATATATCATCAAAAAGTTCTGGTAACTGGTTTCTTAACAAATTTAAGTAAAATTCTCCGGTTAAATTAGGAGGCAGCTCAATTGGATCTAAAAATTTGTCTCCAATTATGCCACACCATACATTAAATTCATATTGAAAATGCCTTTCCCTGATTAAATGCGGATTTTCTAATTGCCAAGAATGACTATTTCGCCATTAAAAACACCGCGTCTCGTAAATATAGCTTCGTATGTAAAGAGAATATTTTTGTAAAATGAACGGTCTTCATTTTGTTTTCTTCGCATCCTGCGACAAAAACTAACTCTAGTCAGGTATTTTCGTGGAAGTAAATTTTGGACAATAATAAAATGAAACGGAAGAAACTTCTCATTTTTCAACAGTCTTACTATTGGAGACCGATTAATTTCAGTAACTAAGGACAGACGGCGTGTACTGGTTTCAAGATCACCGTTACTTGAACTAAATCTTCATCTTCCTGTTTTTCATTATTTCCATTTCTCATCTTATTATAAACTATTTCATGTCATAATTTTGAAGGGATATTTCCAAATAAAAATTTATATTAGACACGTACCGCCATCTACATGTCATTGAGGAGACTTATAGCACCTAAATTTGTGTGAAACATTCTTTAAGTGAAGGGTACCATACTCATCAGCTTAAAGTCACCACCTTCTCATATGGTCCCTTTCTAGCACTATTTGTAGTAAGGCATGCCAAAAAAAGAGCCTCTTGGAAGGTGGTGCCTTTAAGCTGATGAGTATTGTATAGTCAGCGAAACTTATATTGTGACGGGACGTGCGGGGTAACATGCTACGGAATGCAGAGCCGGACTTAACTGTATCGTTCGCTCGTTTACTTTTTCAATGTAGTTTAGCTAGCAACAATTTAACAATTGTACAAACAAGTATTAACTTGAAATAAAAGTATTGAATTTAACGTATTGACAACACAAACAGCAGTTACAGTACTCAAGTTTGCTTAATATAAATTGTTACTACCCAGCAAGAACCGCGAGGAGGTATGAGCATTTCTTGCCAGGAAAGGATGGGTATGGAATATTAGTATTGAATAAGAAAGCATTAAAAACAAAATAAAAACAAAAAATATACTCTCAAAATAATAACAGAAACAAATATTTTTCTCAATAAAAGAACTAAACATAAATTCTAATAGTAAAGTAATTACTATAATAAAAACAGAGACATATTTTTGTCAAAATGAAAAAAAATAATAACATTAATAAATAACAACATCCTGATAAAGAATTTTTCTCAAGCACTGAACCACGAAAGCACAAGGACGGAATTAAATAATGCAGTTGATATCACAAAATTCACTTCTTCACTTCACATCACTTCACTTTACCCTCACTCCACATTGCTTTTTTCTCTGAATTTCCGTTCTTCTCACCCAGTTCTTCATTTTGAGATGAACTACTATCCTCGTTCAAATTTATAATAAATTTATTTCCACTATTTATATGAAATTTGGCAATTTTTAAATAGTCAACCTCAATTGTAATTACTTTCCTAATTCTTTTTTTCGCAATCTTCCTTGTTAATTTTCGACATTTCATTTTGAATTAACTCTACGACTTATTTTTATCGAATTTCGGAAAAACATTTTCTTTTCTGACATTTTTCTTCAATTTGCACCAAATTAATCCAATCGTTTTGAAAATACAGAAATATGGCGGTAATATCAACACTTTGTGGCCATATCTGTCCGCTACATTATCTATAATATACTTTTCACAATTTTTCGTTTGCAGGACTTCCAACATTTGTGGTTTATTATAATTTTCCTCATAATAGATATCATGTTCCATTAAAAAAATTTGTAACTCTATCTTAGTAGTACTCTTGTTAGGAATTTTATACAGTAGTTGTCTCGAATGGTACTTTACATTGTCAAGAACAATAATGCTATTCGGCTTTAATTTTGGAATTAGTGTATTTTCAAACCATTCCTCAAATATTTCTCCCTCCATGTTCTTGTGATAATCCACGTTACAGTCTTCCATGTTTTTCCGCACAGTTTCAATGCATTATCAACCCATCCATCAAATCATCCACAGTGTAATATAATCAACCGAGTCTCTTTATTAGGAGGTAATGAGATTGGTTGACATTTCCTAGATCCATCAGTCCATCCTTTTTTTTACGGTGCGGTGTCATGAGTATCATGCCAAGTTTCATCTAGACAATAAATTGTTCTATTTTTTTCTTATGAGTTCTTTTATCTCTTGTAGATGTGAATTTCGCCTATCCATTATTCATCTACTTTCCATAATCGCCATGCGTTTATTAATAGTTTGATATTTAAATCCAATTTTTCTCAGCCAAGTTCCTAAAGTTCTTTTGGTTTATTTTAGATGATAATCTATTTCTTTTAATTTTCTGTCTACCACGTCAATAGTCGGGATTTCATTTTTCTGATACGCGTCGTGAACTAAAGTTCTTAAAAGTTTTGCTAACGATGGGTCCAGAGTTTTCGATTGACCGGCGTCGGATTTTTGTTTCATTGGGAGGACATATTTCACCAATTTGTGTATTGTGGGACAGGGCACGTTAGTCAGATATGCTGTTTCACCTAGTACATCCAAATCATACAAATTAGAGTCTTTAACTCGTCGCTTCAAAAGATTATTGTAAACATTCAGGTAAATTTGTTTCGTTTGATCTTTCAAATGTAACCGATTTTGTCTTACTGAAAACAGAAATGAATTTTGATTTTCTTTATCACTGTAATCATTATCACTTTCATTTTCACAGACACAATAAGATGCAGACGTAGTGGCCTCCCACGGTTAAAACATTTTTACATCAAAAACTTTCTTAAATTATTTCCGAAAACACACCAGCAAATAAACAGATCAAAACAATTATTTCTTATATTACACTATTACACAACTCACTGCAATATGATAGCTTTCTTAAATTATTTTCAAAAACATGCCAGCAAATAAACAGATCTTAAATAATTATTATTTATCTTATAATATTATACTTACAATATGTCAGCACTGTTAGAATCATTCGGTAACGAAATTAAGAACGGCTCTGAATTATCACAGAATGCAAGTGAAACTCCGCCTCGGTCGCGTGCCAGCAAAAACAACAATCATCGTTCTCACTTTAATGTAAGCGGTTAAAAAACGGAAGATGTCATGTGTTATACATTTCCCGACCACATGTCGCATCTTACCCCGCATGTCCCGTCACAATATAGGTTTCGCTGACTATACGCTGTGAAGGAATTGGCTACATATTTTGAGATAAGGGACACACGCTTTAGAAAATATACCATGTCCTCGAGCGGGAATCGAATTCGGGACTCCTTGAGTGACAGTCAAGTGTCCTTACCGCTTGACAATGAAGCCATTATGAGCCATAATTATCAGAAATCATATGCAAATTTCAATCCAATCAAATGACTTAAAAATTATGCGTCAAATGCTATAGACGCACAAATAATTCCAGATATTTGATTTCAATGGTAATCAACATCATTTTGTCATGAACAGGAATATAATTAATATTCTTGCTATACATGTGACGATATTGTTACAGAATTGGTATCTGATGCCATCATTTGTCCATCGATTCCAGTATTAAATCACATTGGGGCCGATGCTTGTGTTTGTTGGGTTGGTATTTATAGTTAGAGAAATACGTTTCTAAAAATAATTAGTTACATAAATTACCAAAACCATAGAAGTATCCAGCAATAAACTAATTGGTTTCAAAAACATTGGCTTAAATTAAATGAAGCCATATTATAAGAGTTTTATTTATATTAGTGGTCACCAATAGTATTTATCTCTCATAGATAATTATTCTGCACATTCTGGTAAGACTAATTTGCTTTCATTATTTAGAAATTTCCTTATACCTATTATTCTAATTCAAGACCAAAATAGAAACAATTTTTATTTACCGTTTTCTTGTACACAGTTATTTAAAATTAAGTGCAAAATTTATCTGAAAAGCTACAACATGTTGGTGACGATAATAAGTTTCTTGTTAAGACAGTATTCCAACCGAGGAATATTATGAAATCCATTTTAACAAAAACAAACTGGTAAACTGTGAGCAAAATTCAGATAACGGTATTCCAGTGTGAAGGTATTAAAAGTTATGGGAGAGAATCGTTCAAATGTCTCAATGAAGGTTAGGTGAGCATAACAATTAGGTGAAATTGAAAAATTGAAAATTTGCTAACCTGCTTGAGAAAATGGACAAACAGAAATTCGGAGAATGTGTTAATAAAAGAAGCAGACTGTAAGAACAGAAATATTAAGGAATTGGCAGTAATATTATTAAATGGAGATATATTCAAATTGTTCTGTAGATTATGGTACAAATAACCTCGTTGTACCAATGTTTAAAGGAGAATTGAACAAAATTAATATTTTATAATAATTTAAGTATCAACAGTTCTATGTATGTAAGTAAATATCTGTGGATATCATTAAATAAATGTGTCAAAAGTAGCATATTTTATGTAAGCTACAAAACTTTGAAAAAGGAAATAAAAATAGATTTAGTTCCCAAAATATAAGGGTAACATTTCATTTTTTTTATTAGATTTATCAAAAAGCACCCTCTGACTATTCCTTTGACATAAAATCACAAGTGCAGAGACTTTATGTTTCAGTAATATACTGGGTAACTGTATACTTATTACGGATTTCAACGGTTACGCGCTCATTCATTAGTTTTTTTGTGACTATATATTAACTGAGACTGAATAACAAATCACTAACCATAAAAAATATTCCACTATGTAAATTATTTACATAATTGTAGCATTTTTTTTAATAAAAATTACCTAAAATATTTGTAGCGTCATGATATTCTATTTACTTCGACTCATATTTATGCAACCAACATTTCAGACGTCGTGTACTATAAATTGTCTAAATTAATCATTCCTTCATTCACTTTTTAGATAAATTATTAAATTGTCTAATCATTAAAGGATTGGTCTCATTTAATTTTCCTTAAATTCATTATTTTCTTTGGCCAACCTGACAAGTAGTTTGTTACTGATTTTCTTCATTTGAAATATTACGTTTCGATCTACATTAAATCGGATTTAGTGAAAACCAGTACCAGACCTTTCTAATTGACCCAATAGTTAAAACAGATACAGTTTTGTTATAAATAATACTAAACAGAAATAATACAGTAACAGAAGCTACTAAAGAGATTTAAAATGCTCAGGATATATCTAAATTTTTTGAATTTCTATGAATTGAAACCAAAAAATTTCATCATTGGTTAACTAGTAGTTATTGTTATAACGTTATCAGTTTAACAATGATTAATTGTACTGTTTTACGACATATGGTTAACCTCAAAGTTTTGCTCATCTTGCAGTTAAGGAAATCTGTAATATATTGATAAACTAACAATTTTCGATTAAGGGCCGGTTTATCAATTCTTGGTTAACTAAATTATCCGTCAGTTAGTGACTTCTCGCCCAATAGAATCCACCCATTTTACACTAACCGACGGATAATTTTGTTAACTGGGCATTGAAAAACGGGGCCTAAGTAAATTTTTATTCTTCGAATGTTATATTTTTTACTCCTCAATGTTATTTTATCTATAAGTTCTGTTTAGATTTGAAGGAGGATTTGAATTATACGGAATTATAATGTAAATGTATACAGGGTGTTTCCAAAATGATATCGAAAAGTTCACTATGTGATTTCTTTTAAAGAAAAAAGTTCCTATAAACATGAGTCCAAAAATGCTTGCCTGCAAAGTTATGGACCTTCAAAGTTAAAGAAAAATAAAAATAAATTTTTGCTTGAGTGATTGAAATATCTGACAACTGTCTGGCAAAATTGGATTCTTAGGGTCTTGGCAATCCTGCAAAATTTAGTTTTTCACCAGAAATTGAATTTCATGCAAAATGCCCAAGTTTGAAGAGGAAATATGTAATTTTTTTAACCAGTTAAATTGTAATCTCAAAATTTTCAAATAGCAATATACATATTGAAGTATATTGATGAACTCTATCGACTACGTTTACAGTTTTGAAAAATATTAATGGATTCTTATTTCATACGTCAAGATATGTTTTCCTATGTGTCTGAAAACCCTTGGTAGCCCCAGAAGTACGAAAAATGATCTCAGTGAGTAAAACATTACTAAAAAGAAATGTTGACTTGAATAAAAGTGAAATTTTTAACGCAAATGATGCAACTTAAATTGAAATCATAATTACAGAAATTACTGAAGATGTTGCAGTACTGCAATCCATACAAAAACTTTGAAGAGGAATAATAAATAAGGTGCAACTTTTACGTGTTTGAGCATAAACTTGGAATCACTTAATATTTTCGAAATACTTTCCTACACTCAATATATTATGCAGTGAAAAAATTTGAGTCAACGTTTTGAACCATCCTGTATTCAAAGTTTTAGTGAAATAGTTTTACAGACATATGAAATCTGACTCAATTGAAGTGCCGAATCCATCGGCTTTTTTACCACAACTCGTCATCTAATTGATCTCGAAAGAGGGGATGCTTTCTGCATTACCTTGTATAACAAGGAAACATCTACATTAAAAAAAAATTCAACTTTTAATCTAGTGGGACGGAAAATCATGAATTTCGTGTATTTTTCTTTCCTCAAAAATTGTTAGGTTGGACATATTTCGAGTAAGCTCCTTAAAACAGACTTTTTCACTTATTTAAAAATTTTATTAATTTTCAAAATTTATTTATTTTTTATTATTTGAAACCCGATGATCCAATAATAACAATTTAGTATAAAAAAAAAATACAGTCCATTGAAACGCGAATGTTGTAAATATATATGGCTGAAAATGCCCTTTTAAATAGGTAACATAAAGCAAATTTAGTTTCAATTAGGTAAAATACAAAAATTTACTTTTTAAAATTTAACTAAGGAATTAAAGTATTGTATGTACCAAATAATAAAAAGCTATTAGCAGCAAATATCATTTTATATTTATCTACACGAACAAATTGCACCCAATTTTTAACTAAAAAGGTCTTGTATCTAACATTACAATTTTTTTCTGCCCTCTTTGTACTAAACTAATTTCGATAATTTCATACGAGGCTGCTAAAAAGTACATCTCGGCAGCTTCCTTCACGGGAGTTCCATTGATATGGGTTATTATGTCACCAACTTCTATTCCACACCTAGAAAAACGAAACAGGATGTAAGATATTGATCTGCGAGAACGAAAATTTTCGTTCTTTGAAAACGAATGAGATGTATTGTTTTAAATGTACAGAGTGCTTTAAAATTGTGGCAACAAATTTCAGGAGCGTCTTCAGAGACCTAAAAATAATAGAAAAGTACATATATTTATGTTGTTATGTTAAATTTTCGTCATTTTCCGATGTAAACCATTTTAAAAAAGTAATGGATACAATTTTCTACTAAAAATTCCGGATTTTAGTTCCTCTAAACAAATAATATATTCCATGACCACTTATAAAATAAAACGTTCCAGAATTCAGCTTAAGGGCACACCAAAATTTATAACTGTTGAAATAAATCCATATAAATATACAATGCTGTCCGTATGTATGGAATAAATTCATTTTAAACGTAATTATGAACTTTTAGAAAAAAATCCTGAAACAGGTCGATTTTTAATTTGAAATTTCCATTTTTTTGGCATAAAAATAATATACCTCGTGTTCACTTTGTCTGAATTATGACCCGAAAATTTTAAATCAGGAAAGGGGTCGTGCTGCACCTCGTTCAAAAGGGACTTTGATTATGTATTCAACAGTATAACATTTTTTAAAGTTGGGGCATTAATTACTGAAAAAAATTACTTTTGAAATATAAAATTTGGTGAATGTCTTGTAAACTCAGTTGAGGTGTTCTTTGCTAAATTATTGGGTTTGAATAAAAATTAAAACTGATGTTTTTAAAGTTTTTAATACAAAATTGTACCCACCTGAACCCTTTACATAAAATGAATTGCAGAATCTGACATAATATTAAGAATGTATTTCCAATTTATTTGAAAACATTTAAAATTTATTTTATAATTAAATTAAATGTTCAAAATGACTGCCTGTCGCCACTTGATAATAAACAAGGCGATCTTTTAATTCTCAAGTGGCATTTTGTATGACCTCATGGCTTATTTTGTAAATTTCTTCTAATTTTTTAAATCTGCAATATTGTCTCGTCGATTAACATACATATTTGATTTTAAATAGCCCTATGAAAAGTAATCAAGAGTGGTCAAATCAGGAGACCGAGGTGGCTAATCAATAGTTCCACGTCTTCCAATTCACCTGATAGGGAAAACTTCGTTTAAATAATTTCTCACTCTACGTGAATAATGCGGTGGAGCTTCATCTTGATGGTA